TGAAAGCGAAATGCAGAGTGGGACCGAAGTCAACGGCTTAAATGGTGCTCTCCCTGCTCGTTCTGGACAAGTGTCTACTGAAATGGCATCTGGACTTCTTCTTTCTAATGAATGTGATAAAATTGAGGACACTGCAACAGCAGCAGAAGAGGGACATGATAATGAACCAAATATGAAGAGAATGTAAGCTCTTTTGTCACAAGGAATCTCTTTTTTGAAAACGGAAAAGGTCCAAATATGCCCTTGTACTATACGAAATTGAGCACATTTGCCATTCGTTAATACTTTAGCTCAAATATGCCCTTACTGTCACATAGTTGGTCCATATATGCCCTTAGAGTTACACAGTTGGCCCATATATGCCCTTTTCGAAACGGAATCCACCCAAACTAATTAGCTCTTTCGTTAATTGTATTAAAGTGTATTACAAACACTATTTCCTTTTTATTAGTACTTTTTTTTCTTTACCTTTCTCTTTTCTTTCTTCTTTTTTCTTTTCTTCTATTTTTTTTTCCTTTTTCTTTCTATTTTATCCGATTTCCTCCATTACTGATGTCTTCTCCATTTTCATCACCAATTTCACTTGACAAAACTCATGAATTCCAATTACTAAGAAAATTCTCCCATAAGAATATTTTTATAGATCATATGTTTGTAAATTTTTTAATTTTTACTGAACATATATTTAGTTCTAAAAAATTTAACAAAGTAAGATTAAAATAATATTTATGTAACAAAAAACCCGAAAATCCAACAAAACCGAACAATCCAAACCGATATAATTGGTTTGATTTGATTTTGATAAAAATCGAACCAACACGTTCCATGTACACCCCTAATTTACATAGTTAATAAAAAAAAATAGAAAATGTCCAGTTGAAAAAAGACTAACAACTCAAATTTATAACACTACAACTTGAACTCTAGGCTTTTAATCAATAAATTATCTTTCTGGAAACAATTTAAATATTTTGGTCTTTTGAGTATTGTTAAAGGTTGATATGTTTTTATTATTTTAAAGTTTAAACCATAATTTTTAGAACAATTTAATTTCGTTTATTTAGAGGGTCAGTGAAATTGGAACTTGATTACCTTATGAGAGAATTTTCTTAGTAATTGGAATTCATGAGTTTTGTCAAGTGAAATTGGTGACAAAAATGGAGAAGACATCAGTAATGGAAGAAACGGATAAGGGAGAAAGAAAAAGGAAAAAAAAAAAAGAGAAGAAAGAAAAGAGAAAGGTAAAGAAAAAAAAGTACTAATAAAAAGGAAATAGTGTTTGTAATACACTTTAATACAATTAACGAAAGAGCTAATTAGTTTGGGTGAATTCCGTTTCGAAAAGGGCATATATGGGCCAACTGTGTAACTCTAAGGGCATATATGGACCAACTATGTGACGGTAAGGGCATATTTGAGCTAAAGTATTAACGAAGGGCAATTGTGCTCAATTTCCTATAGTACAAGGGCATATTTGGACCTTTGCCCTTTTGAAAATGAACAAAGGAAAATGTAACTGAAACGAATATGCATCTGATACAAGTAACCGTGATGCAGGAAGACAGCTGTTGAGGCTCCTAATCTTGCTTCATCACATAAAGCAGTATCAGAATCCAAGATTGTTGTGCAGACAAGGAGTGAAGTAGACATTTTGGATGACGGGTTCAAGTGGCGAAAATATGGGCAGAAAGTGGTGAAGGGGAATCATCATCCGAGGTACTTTTACTTACTCCATGTATCTTAACTGTGACCTTTTGAATACATTAGTCGTTCTGCTGCATGCAGCTTTGCTTGGACTACCCTTTAGTTGTCTAAAGGAGTGGTATTTACTTGTGTCCTGCTTTTTGTCCTATGTCCAGTATATTCCACTTGCATAAATCCCTAGGCATTTGGTGAATGTAAAACAAATAATTCAGAAATTTACTAAGTCCAAGTCATATTCTTGAATGATGTAGTTATTAAGCACCATTTTTCTTGCTCCGAACTCTGGCTATCTTTGTTCAGGATAACTTCTCTTGGACAATGTTCCTGCAGTTTCAAGCCGTAAGAAATCTTCTTCTTCAATAAAACTATATAAATTAATTAAATAGGAAATAGTGTATTATTCTTATGGAAGTTGTAGGAACAACTCTTTCATCTTGGATTCTATTTTGGTCAATTTTACACGTCATCTTTCATTATGTCTGAGCAAAATATTCTCAGCCTCCTAAAGTGTTGGTTTGGACATTAATGGGGGGG